TTAATCTATATACTCTACACTTGTCTTACACACTCTCTCTGTCTATTCTACAAGTTCTAACTATGTTCTAGTACTTGTATCCTATTATTTCTGTTGTGTAGGATAGTTGTAGCCTGAGTCCCCTTACTAAGCCTTTAGGTCCCCTCTATACTATTACTAACATTAGTAATTAACTACTAAGATTGTAGGTAGACTATTATATAATGTTATCTACTTATTAGCTACTAATACTACCTACTTATATTTGTACAGTATTGTCAGATTTATGACTAATATGTATGTGTTACTGTTAGGTACTTTACTATGAGCTATAAGCTGTGTGTATGTCTGCTTAATCTTGTCAAGTGTTTTGTTGAGTTGGGAGACATGTTTTAAGACTGTGAACAACTAAGATAAGTCAACTGTTTAAGTCATTATAGTCTGTACATTGTAATATTTGTTGAGTACCTACATAAGTACTTTTGTCATAGTATGTATAGTTATGTTTGTATAGATGAGTAGACTCATTGTCTTTGTAAGACAATAGTAAATTACCTAACCTGTGTGTATACTGTCTGTACTATTTGACAGTAAGTTAGTTATAAGGTAATTACTAAGTGACATTACTACTAGCCTGTTCATAATGTAGAGCTGCCATATCTTAAAAAATTTCAGGCCTGTAAGCTTCTTAATCCTATTAAAGAACTTAGGGATTCTAGTGTCCTTTAGTGTTAAGTTACTAAAGTTTAGTATACTCTTTATCATTTTGTGTTGTTGAGTGTCTATTAACATTACATTTGTAGTAGGCTTTATGGTAGTCTTGTTTGTAGTAAACTGTACAGGGGGGGGCAGGGACAATCTGTCCTTTACCCTTATTATTAGTACTATACTTATATGTGTTAGCCTAATCTTATAATCTGAAAGAATGTAGGGGAGACACAACACCCTTTTTTTAAAATTTTAAGAATGCTACTCTACTTTTTATATATGTATTAACCCTAAGTCCCTAAGGGTCAAACACTAGGGTACAGAGTATACATATAAGTATAATACATATTTAAGTTTGCTAAAAATGAGCATTTTCCTCTAATCTCTCTACAGTCAGGGGAGCTTCTCCTGAGTACTATTCATGTTTATAAATTCATTCCAAATAAATTAGACTAGTTTCAAGCACTTTTAATAGTTTTATTATGGATTTCTAGCCTAGATTAAGTAGTAAGTCATTATTATACATATTACTTTAACAGTACTTCTCTAACTTATAAAACTATACTATAACTTATAAAAGTGCTCATATCTGATATGTTTTGGTTAGAGTGAATTTACAAACATAAATAGTACTCAGGAGAAGCTTCCCTGACTGTAGAGAGGTTAGGGGAAAATGCTCATTTTTAGCAAACTTAAATATGTATTATACTTATATGTATACTCTGTACCCTAGTTATAATTTAATATGTAAATTAATAATAAAGTAATATTCATCATTTAGATTAGCTTATAGTATTGTACAATCAGTTTTGGGGCCAGGAAAACTCATATACATGAAATATAGGGAAAACTCACATTTTGTATTGTATCTTACTCAATTTTTGCTCATTTCACTTTAGTTTTCCTGGAATATGAAAGTTAGTTTAAAAACATAATTTTACAACTTAGATCATATAATTTGGTTAGGTATTAGTTGAGATATAGTGGATTTTGTATTTGAGTGTACTTAGTGTGACAAAAATTACAAATTGTGTGTGTGACAACAATTTTGAAAACAACTGTAAGCAAACTTCATATATAGAATAAAGGTACAATCTTTCAATTTTTTGTCTACTTCTACCTGACTGTAATTGTCAGTACACACTGGGAAAACACATTTTTCTTACTTTTTTGACAAGGTGTGACCCAAGACAATGTGTAACAGTATGTGACTTCAATTTTGAAAACAACTGTAGGCCTAATCAGAAAATTTAGTATTATACTGACCTTTCAGCTTATCATTTTGTTCTGAAATACTTGGACAATATTTGTTGTAGATATACATGCATAATGTGTTTATTGTACAGCCTCCAAAGAAATTATAAATAACTGGATGTTGACAGTAAAAAACTGTATCAGAAACAATCACTTACTGTAATGGATGCACAATAAGTAATATGTTAACTAATAATCAGGATGAAGAATAATAATGTATATACACACCTTTTAGTTACAGACTTTCTGGTAGCCATTTTATTTCTTATACTAGTCAATTCTAAGAAATTGTTTCAAAGGTAGTATTACTGTTGTTTTCATAAATATTGTCACACATACAATTCATGATTTTTGTCACACTAAGTACACTCAAATACAAAATCTATCATAACTCAACTAATACTTAACCAAATTACATGATCTAAGTTGTAAAAATTATACTTTTAAAGTATCCTTCATATTCCAGAAAAAATAAAGTAAAATGAGCAAAATTAGAGTAAGATACAACACAATATGTGAGTTTTCCTTATATTTCATGTATATGAGTTTTCCCAGCCCTAAAACTGATTGTACAATACTATAAACTAGTTTAAATGAAGAATATAACTTTATTGTTAATTTACATATTGAATTCTAACTAGGATACAGAATACACATATAAGTATAATACATATTTAAGTTTGCTAAAATTGAGCATTTTCCCCCAACCTCTCTCTACACTCAGGGAAGGTTCTTCTAAGTATTATTTATGTTTTTAAATTCATTCCAAATAAATTAGACTAGTTTCAAACAGTTTTAATAGACTTAGTATGGATTTCTAGTC